GACATACGTCTGTAGCGCAATGACGGCATATTGTTTTCACATTCTTTGTCTGCGAGGGGATCCAATCTCGTCGTTGTGATAAACTGTATGGAAATATAAGTTTGCGTACGGATGCAATAAAAGATGTTTGGTTTGTAGTGTCTCTAGCTCAATAGTAAACAGAGTGAAGTAGGTTAAGGTCCTCAAAAACATCGTGGTTGAGGTAACTACTATTAAAAATTGAAAAAAAATATGATTTTTATCGAAGGATTGTAATGATTGATAAGATTGTGAGTAGTCCGAAATCCAATACCTTCTGTATGGCCCAGAATTCACAGATTTTTGATAGTTTTTTACTATTTTGAATTTTTGAAGTAGCTTTATGATAATAGAGAAGGCTATATTCGCAAGATATGTATGACAGAATCTAGCTACGACTTTGCCCTGCTTCTACCCCAATTTTCTCTCACCCGCCGAAAATCTCAAGGATGAGCCCTCAACATTCATGGAATAAGACGAGTTTGAAGCCGCATACATCGTCGTCGTGTGCGGCTGCTTCTCTACCTGTTCAGGGTGGTGTCGACGGTCGGCCTTTTGCCGATCGCGCAATAGCTTTGCGCTGTTAATTCGGAACTGGAATCTGGATTCGGAGATATGAAATTCATGCAAGCCGCTTATAATTATGCGGTTATCGCTTGAAATTCGCGTTGTCAGCCCCCCATCGTCGTCCCATTTTGTCCGGCAATATACATTGTGTATTTTGAGCTGATCCATCAGGCAATCCTCCATTTGATCAATGTCGAGCGAGTTTTCACCTTTGCGCTTGATTCCAGTGGAGCGGCATGTGTATGGATTATTATGTGATGTGCCTAGAGTACGTGTTAAATGCGGACTAATGAGTTTTTCGGGATCGAAACATGGTTCGCGTGCACTTGCGGTCAAGTGGCTTCTGTTGCTAACTGAAGAGTTCTCGCGCTTGCTTCTGACAAAACCGCAGATCTGTACCGCTGATAGTGTACGGCGCGGAAAGTCTCTTGTTTTGGCTGATTCGAACACCGCATCACTATCTGGGCTCGTTGAAAATGTCTGGCTTCAAGACATCAATGGCAAAAGTTTAAATTCCTCATAACAGACTGTTTGGAATCCTTGTCTTCGGACGGAGAAACAGTAAGTCTCGAGGACGTGCTATAACTCTATCGTTGAAAAAGCGTTTTTGAATAAACAAGATGTTTTC